AGATGATTAAGTCTGTGTTTTTTGTTAAGACCCTTCTCTAATGCTTGCTTGATGTTTATGTAATGCTTATGTTAAGACCTTTTTAAAGGCTATAACCTTTTTTAATGCTTATAACAATATCTTTTTATAACTTAATATTTTTGCACAAACATGTTGCTATCAGATAAGATGGTTATAATTCAATCTCTTTTATTCATTAAACCATAATTCAAATACATTACATTGATGCCAATATGACATAGAATTACATTAGTGCCAATAGAACATTACATAATAATTCAAGCACCCTACATCAGAACCTGTTCTAACTAGAACATTACATTGTTATAGATACACCCTAAAACTACATTATAATTAACTCGTTCTGCATACAATAGCAAAAAATGTCCATGATACAAGAAGGGCAACCATCAACCAAAAACTCTTGTTCCTTTCAATATGTAGCAACATCTTCAATTTGTCCACCTTCTTTGAGCTTGACTGTTTCACAAATTCTTTAGCAAACTCCTTCCCAAACTCTTGGCCGTATTCTTTTTCAAATTCTTTAAGACAACCAATTAAATCTTCACCTTTGAACATCTCATTATTTTGATTGTTCACTAACAATTCTTCAACTTCATCGTCCAAAATGAAGAAGTCGCATGTTTCATCGCTCTGCAAAAGCTAAACATTTAAGACAACGAGAAATTTGGGGTGATTGAGATTTCATAAACACAATTGCAATAATTTTTAACCATTACCTTTCAAAAATTTTACAATTCCAAAATTTCCTCTTAGGGTTTTCATGGGTGTTTGAAACCCACATCTTCATTGAAAGATTGCAACCACACCTTAGTATTTCTCTTTCATTAAAATTTTCAGTTGATAAATTACACTTTAGTATGTCTTAAGAATGTATTTATTTTCTTGTTTTATGTTTTTCTTTTGCATCTTACTCTTTAAGACCATTCAAACCCAAGTTTAGAGACGTAGAGATTGTCGAACGACATTTTTTCCCTTGCACCGATTTTTGTGGAGACGATATAAATCCCGGAGGGAATTCTTCCGAAAATAATAATTTTTGCTTGCCGCTTCAACAAAATAGCGTCGTTGTGTCTCTGTTAATTATTGTTCTTGAGAAAATCACCATGCATAAATGTCATATCTCATATGATATGTAATTTCTCCACCTTCCCTAACGAGAAATTGCATTTTATATACAGTTGCATCTAACATATGTTACAATTTTAATGGAAGATTATTTTTTAAAATAATATATAAACAAAAATGTTTAATTAAATTTACAATAATTTAATTACTTAATTTTTTTTTACAGTATTTGTAGAACACATATCACGAAATGAATGTCTCTAACAAATTATGGTGAATAAATGTTTGTTATACTCTTATAAATCAAAATGATCTTGCTCATCCAACTTTACATGTTTTTGATATGTAAAGTTGATTCATAAAGACAATTAAGAATTGTCCAATTTAGTAAAAGACCACGGATAAAGAGAAACACAATTGCTAATTTTAATTTTTAAAGCCATCATTAGATGAATTCTTAGATATCCATGATAAGTAGTTGGGTACCGGTACCTTTAGTGCAAAGTGACTTAAAATATTAATTGATTTTTAAATAAAAATATATAAAAGGTGACATGACATTAAATGTAATTGTTTTATGGGTTAATATCACTTTACCCCTATCATATAGGGTGTTATGGTTTACCCCCTGTAAAAAATATTTCTTCAAAAATACCCCTGTTATTTTAAGATTCTTGTTGTTTAAACCTTGAGGAAAAAAGTCACACGCCCTCAACATATGTGGCATGCTTAGTGGCATTTGTTTTAATTTTTTTTAATTGCCACTTAGCCATGCTTAATGCCACATTAGCTAATTGAGACTTATTAAATAGTAAAACGTAAGAAATACATGGAGATGTGGTCTTCTTCTTAGACACACCAAGTTGTTTTTAATTCTTCTGTAAATTTCCACCTTCAACTTGAAATCAGGGTTTCAAATGGGGGGAATAAAAAAATCATCAACTGGAAATTTTAATGGAGATAGCAAGAGGAATGAAGATTCTGATGCAGTTGCACAAGTTCATGTGAATGGAGCTTCTGATGCAGATGCACATGTTCAAGTGAATGAAGCCTCTAATACAAATGCACATGTTTAAGTGAATGGAGCTTCTGATGCAGTTTCACATGTTCAAGTTGCATAACCAACAGTTGCACCTAAGGCTAAACCAAAATTTGCAAAGAAGTTAACATTCCAAAGACTAAGAAAGGTTACACCTACTACTAATGATGAAAGATTTTATGAGGCATATTGAAAGGATGTTGATGAATCCACTGCTGATAAGATACATGTTTCACGACCATTAAAGAAGGTAAAATATCAAGTCCATCAAAGGGCCTGAAGCAAGCAATGATGAACCAATGCTCATGCCTGAAGATGAGGATGGAAGTTTAACTCAAGAACCTGTTGAGGTTGTATTAGACTCTAGGCTAGGGACATGTCTTAGGGCTATGAGATCTTGGGATGCCATTGCAAGAAGATTAATTTAGTGAATTAAAAGAAGTTATTAAAACAAATGATTAAGTCTGTGTTTTTTGTTAAGACCCTTCTCTAATGCTTGCTTGATGTTTATGTAATCTTTTGTAATGCTTATGTTAAGACCTTTTTTAAGGCTATAACCTTTTTTTAATGCTTATAACAATATCTTTTTATAACTTAATATTTTTGCACAAACATGTTGTTATCAGATAAGATGATTATAATTCAATCTCTTTTATTCATTAAACCATAATTCAAATACATTACGTTGATGCCAATATGACATCGAATTACATTAGTGCCAATAGAATATTACATAATAATTCAGGTATCCTACATCAGAACATGTTCTAACTAGAACATTGCATTGTTATAGATACACCCTAAAACTACATTATAATTAACTCGTTTTGCACACAATAGCAAAAAATGTCCATGATACAAGAAGGGCAACCATCAACCAAAAACTCTTGTTCCTTTCAATATGTTGCAACATCTTCAATTTGTCCACCTTCTTTGAGCTTGACTGTTTCACAAATTCTTTGGCAAACTCCTTCCCAAACTCTTGGCTGTATTCTTTTTCAAATTCTTTAAGACAACCAATTAAATCTTCACCGTTGAACATCTCATTATTTTGATTGTTCACTAACAATTCTTCAACTTCATCGTTCCAAATGAAGAAGTCGCATGTTTCGTCGCTCTGCAAAAGCTAAACACTTGAGACAACGAGAAATTTGGGGTGATTGAGATTTCATAAACACAATTGCAATAATTTTGAACCATTACCTTTCAAAAATTTTACTATTCCAGAATTTCCTCTTAGGGTTTTCATGGGTGTTTGAAACCCACATCTTCATTGATTGCAACCACACCTTAGTATTTCTCTTCCATTAAAATTTTCAGTTGCTGAATTTTTGTTTCCCGCCATTTGAAACCCTAATTTCTAGTTGAAGGTGGAAATTTGGAGAAGAAGAAGAAGGAACAACTTAGTGTGTCGAAGAAGAAGACCACGTCTCTATGTATTTCTCACGTTTTATTATTTAATAAGTCTCAATTAATTGATGTGATATTAAGTGTGGCCATATGACAATTAAATAAATGAAAAAAAATGTCACTAAAAACATGCCACATATGCTGAGAGTGTGTGTCATTTTCATCCAAAGTTTAAACAAGCAGAATCTTTAAATGACAAGGGTTTATATATATATATATATATATATATATATATATATATATATATATATATATATATATATATATATATATATATATATATATATATATATATATATATATATATATATATATATATATATATATATATATATATATATATATATATATATATATATATATATATATATATATATATATATATATATATATATATATATATATATATATATATATATATATATATATATATATATATATATTGGACAGTGGAATGAGATGGTCAATAATTTTTGTGGATTATACAAATAAGTATATTTAAAGGAATGCATAAGTTATATTATATTGAGATGGCCTTGAGAGTCTATTAAAAATTTGAGTGATTTATAAGTTTTATATTGTTTTACTTGTGTCTAAATAATTGAGACAAACAAAAAATGATTTTCATAAACTAATCCCTCAGTATATAACTGAAATAGAGAGAAAATGTTTTTATTAAACAACAACCTCCATTTTAATTTATTATTAAAAAACAAATCACTCTCTCAAATTACAAATAAATAAATAAATCAGTTTTTATTTTATTATTTAATGATTATATTTAAAATAAAATTATATATAAACTCTCTCATTTTTCCAATGATCAATAAGTGATAAAATTTGTTTTACACATTTTCATAATACCTTTTATTTTTTAAGGAAAAGGATATACACCAAATTACAATGTTTTTGTTGTATATCCTTTTGCTTTTAAAAAAAGCAATATACTTATTTGAATCAATAATTGCTTTTATTTGAGATATAAAACTTCTATTTAAATTTATATTATCCTTATTTACTTTCCAATTAAGTAATTCATTTACAATTTACTATTAATTAACTACATGGCCGGCCAATCATAAGTCTTGTAAAAAAATTGTATCACCTTAACTACAAACGCCAAGTCCCAAACTCAAATACTTACTTGAACCAAAAAAAATAAAGCATAAATACCTCATATATAAACGTTAAGTCATTTATAATATTGGTAACACGTAATTTTCAACCAAAGAGTAATTATCAACTACAATTACAAGATCAAACCAAAAGGCCCCACAGTTGAGTATGAAACAGGGTACAAGGTAAATTCTGAAACACATCAATTAGCAACAAAAGCAACAAACGTTTTGCCAGGATATCACACAGTCAAGGAATCCAGCACGTTTAAAGTCTACAATCCCTAATGATTGTGAAAAGCATGAACATGCTCAGTTCAATTTTGCTAGTTTCAAAACCCCATGCTTTATATCTCCCCAAGATAAATCTGCTTGTCACTACTACAAGATCCAACAATAGGTTCATTGGGATGGAAAACACACTCATTAACAGATCCATTGTGTCCAGGAAGCTTATACAATATTCTTCGAGAAGTGGTATCCCAGATGTAAACCATTCGATCAGAACTCCCAGCTGTGACCTTGCTTCCATCAGGTGACCAACCACATTTCAACAAAGTCTTCTCAAAGTTGTGTTGATGGCCTTCTAAAATCTTCACACATCGATTTTGTGGAGCATATGGACGCATATCCCAAATGCATAGCTTGCAATCCATGCCGTTTGTAAGAAGGTAGGAACCATCAGGGCTCAATTGCATACTCGTAATCATATCTTGATGACCTTGAAGTGTCATGGTAACCTCGCCTTTACGTAAATCCCATATCTTGACATCATTATCAATACCACCAGTGTAGATCTTATCCGAGGCATCAGAGAAGCTGACAGCAGTAATCTGGTATTTATCAGGGAATGTTTGGATGGAACCCCTTTGACGCATATCCCATAATTTAGCTGTTCCGTCATCAGAACCACTGACAACAAGAGGTGGCCCTCTCCGGGAAGGACAGCAACTATTGACATATGAGAGATGCTCTACCATCTTTTTTATTTGTTTTCCTGTTTCTGTATCCCATAACCGCAGGGTTTTATCAGGGCTGGCAGAGACTATCTGTGTCCCATCTGAGGTCCAGTGAAGATCTAAAACAGCATTCTTATGACCTTTTAGAACCATAAAGTTTTTGCAATCCCCATGCACATTCCAAAGGAAAATTTCTTTGTCATGGGATCCAGATGCAAGGACAGATCCTGTTGGATTGAACTTCATGGTATATACAGCACTCTGGTGACCAGTCAGCAACATGATAGGAGATTCCAAACTTGAGGTACGCTGTTTTCCATTTGCCCCAGGAGCGCGAGGAGCATTGTATGGAACAGTAGACCACTCCATTGGCCTTGGACCAACAACAGACAGAGCATTTTCACTTTCTCCAGGAAAACCTTGCATGTTGACCTTAGCTTAAAATTGAATCAAACAAACTTCAATTTGCACAAGCTTGAGTGTCCAAAACTGAAACAGAATCAAAAAAGTTAGCAGCAGCAAGATCTAAAGAGGACTACATATACTAGACAACAAAGGAAGTTGCATATCCAGTCTAGAACAGTTAACTTAATTCCAAAAATCTTATCTAGCATTGTCATCAATAATTGGATAAGAAAATGAAACAGATTTAAAAAAGGACAAATCATGAATTCAGGGTCTGATAAAACACTCAACCCTTCCAAAATAAATCCGCCAAAAGAAAAACAAATGAACAAAAAAAATTATACTTCAAAATCTAATGAAAACTGTAGCACGAAACTACAACCAAAAACCATCACCAACCTATATAACACAGAAAGGAAGCAATATATATAAAGGGCTAGCTCTGAATCACATTTTTGCTTTTCATTTTCGAGCTCACCGGCCATCACATTACTTACTTTTGATATAAAGTTATTCAAAACATATGTAAATTTCAACTATTAAATTACATGTAGATTAATGTCTAAATTATATAAAATTATGTACACATAATTGAACATCGAGATAATACAACATGCCTATGTGGCTAGATTTAGTAAATTAAAAAAGTTCTACAAAATTTTAAGAGGTAAAGTAATAGTATTCCAATTAAAACACTCAATAGTCAACCGGTCTTAACTCCCTCCCTCTCTCTCTCTACACACGCAGACAAAAAACTCAAGTAAGAATATTATCAATTTATAAGAGCACGCATTTTTGTCTGTTTCAATAAAGCAATAAATGACTGCTCATATACAGAAATTATGTATCAAATAGTAGCAGCAGGCGTGGCAAAGTTCTGGCTGAAAAAAATTAATTGAGCTGATTGTTTGTGTCTAAAGAATTATCGACATCCCCTCCCACCACTCATCCTAGCTCCTGGCTAGACCAAGATAGTATACTACATCAAGAACATATAAGCACGCCACTTGATTGAAATGCAACTAGTAAAAGGTCTATTAGACCAGACTAAATCAAGAGAATAAATGCCATAAATCCCTATATTCCATAAGAACTAATATATTCAGAAAGTGAAATTGATCAAGGACAACACCAAAATCCAAATCCATTTAGCCCTACACCCAATTGAAAAAAAGAAGGCACTGGTAGTCGGTAGAGAAGCTGCTGGAGGCAGTGTGATCTCAATTGTTTTAAAACTTCAACCAGAAACAGCCAAACAATGTTTTTAACTTCTCATGAACAATTTAATACCTAATGATTAAAGGAAGAATTATAGCCATGAATCTACACATATTGTATCATTACCCAATGGTTGGTGCGGTTCATATAAAAACTAGTTCAACTAGTAATTACAGAACAAAATACTGAACTCAGAGTTAGCAGCTACTACCTATTGAGTAAATTCAAAACAATATTCTAGTAATAAACGAACAAAAGCTTCCAGTGTACAAAACTACTAGTACAAGCATACACAGTTCTAGTAACTTTTCTGTATGTGAAATTACGTGAATCTTACATCTTGTAATTCTAGCTAAAATCTCTAAATTGATTTCTAATAATCTAGTTCCGAAGAACGCAGTAATGAAGTTGAAGCTACAAAGCTTAAAGAGGTATGATAGCGCTCATTTTATACCAGAGAAACGGACAGAGAGATCGAGGGAGAGACTAAGCAAATTAATCTGATTCTGAAGATAGATAGATAGATAGAGAGAGAGGGGGGGAGAGGCTTACGATTGTGCGGTGGCGTTCCACTCTGCAGATGGATTTCGAAGTTCGGCGGAGGACTGCGAGTTGGCGGTCGTCAGGGGAAGATGCCGGAGGCACCGTGCGAAGATGAAGAAGAAACGGAGAGTCCAAAACCCTAACTCCCTGACTACTCAGCAGTAGTACATTGATAAATATTTTAAAAATTAAGAAACCCGACCCGTGTCAAATGGGTTATTGCCGGATAGATGGGAGCAAGGGACACCTTATATTTTGTCCTAATGCATATCTTAATTTTTATGATTAGTAATATGTGTTACATAATAAGAAATTTTTTAATATTCACGAGTTTCGATTAAGTGGTTACCAAATTATTGACGGGAGTATCAATGACCATGTTATATTTTATACGAGATATTATCCGATTTAATTTAATAATGCAATTATGTAATATGAATGAATATGTCGCACACGTACCATTGATACCAATCAAAGAGACACTACTTATAAAAACATGTATCTCGAATTAAATTATCTGATCTTGAAACTTCAACGCCTCTAAGAGCAAAGACTTTTCCCTTGGTCTGATCATTCTATCCTACACATACTTCTTTCTTCGGTTTCTAACAATAGGTGTTGATGTGACCATGCTCTACACATTTGAAACAAGTTGGAGCGATACTTCTGCACTCAGAGACACAATGACATGGCTTCCCACACTTGAAACATCTCGGAGGAAACTGAGAAATCCCCACTAATTTTGTTCTCGATTGCAACTTTCTAAATTCCTTTGGCACTTGGGTTTGCATACGACTTTCTGTGTTCCTGATTAGAAAACTTCTTATCATTCATACTTTTATAATGAGTAGGTCTTGCTCTGATGTCTTCATTATAAATTATGCACTTGTTGACCAACATTGAGAAATGGCGGATCTCTTGGTAACTAATAAATTGTTTGATCTCTAGATGCAGTCCAATCTCAAACTTCACACACTTGGAACCTTCAACATTTACATCATTATAATGCATACAGTATTTGGGTAGCTTCTCAAACTTGGATGCATAGTTAGTCATATACATTTTTCCTTGCTTCAACTCCAAGAACTCTATTTCCTTGTGGTTACGAACAACAAATGGAAAATACTTGTCCAAAAACTCACTCTTGAAAATTTTCCAAGTAATAACAGTGCCAGCAACTTCCAATCTTTGCCAGGTATTCTTCCACCAGTACTTAGCTTCCTCAGATAACCTATGAGGTTCATATAACACCTTATGAGCATTAGTACACACCATGACTATGAAAATATTCTCAATCTTCTAAATCCAAGTTTGGGCACCTTCAGGATTATATGTTCCCTTGAATGTAGGCGGGTTATTCTTCTAGAATTTTCCCAGCCCACGAAATTCATTAGCTCCACCATTCTGATTTTGATTAGCATGCAAAACTTCATTGGGTTCAGCCATCAAGTAAGTCATTTCCTCTAGAGCATCAGCAATAGCACGATCATTTCTGCCAGCCATTTCTTCTTGCACAATCAGCCATAAACAAGTTAACCAATTGCACTATAAAGAAAATGGTGGTTACGAGGAAAAATAACACTGAAATGGTTAACACTCATGTCGTGTGCAAAGGTACAATAAGTTCTCAACGCATAAGGCCGGATGGACTGACATGCTTTGATACCAACTACGTAACACCCTAAACCCCAAATGTAATTCATAAAACATTGCGGAAAAAATTTGAAGATAAATCAAGGGTGTCACATTAACAGCTTCAACTTTAATTCTTAAAAGGTGGGATTTTAGTTTAAAAACATAACATAAGCAACTTCGTTTTCAAAACAACTCAAACAAGAAAACATAGAAAAAGTATCTCATCCCGATATTACAATATCAGAGCAAAAACCAGAATGAATACTACAAAGCTGACAAGGTTACGATGGACATAAAAGCATAAATAAAACTACTGAAGAGGCCAACTACGCCATCCTCTGCAAAACACCTAACTATCATTCCTCAATATCAACCTGGGAATCACCTGTATAAATTACAACAGTATAACATAAAGATAAGAAAGGGGTGAGAATACGTTCCACAATTTTAAGGGTGTATAAACAACAAGGATAACTTATATCAACATATTCAACAAACATAGATATACAATATAAAACATCATTAAGAAACGCGTAATTCCTCTACTCTCATGTATGTGGTACCATCCTACAACACTAGACTGAAGTTCTACAACATTGAGTTGAAGTCCTGGACATCAGAGTTATTTTACTGAATGATCCTCAACACTAGACCGAAGTCCTACAATATTGGACCGAAGTCTTAAACTAATCTTTGATATACATGAATGCATGATGCTACAAACAAATAAAAACAATCTCCATCAGAATCTTCTACACCAATTATCAACACTGTAGGTTAAGGCTAACATTTTAACATTGTCGATTAACGCTAACACATCAATATTGATTCACCCAAACCTAAACATATCAACAAAGCACATATCAACACATCAACATATCAACATATAAACTTGTCAACATTGGTTCGCCTTGAACCTTCAACTCAAAAAACTTCAACATTGCCTACTCACAAGGAGGTCAATAATTCAGTCATTAATAACCAATCCCAATCATTTTTCTCAACAAACTATCACCTAGCAGAATAATTAAATGTCAACCCGTCAAAATTGGTCAACACATAAAAAAATGGTCAACCCAAGGTTGACGTTCTGACCGTCACGACCCCTGACGGTCGTCACAATTGAAACATTCACCGTCATCAGCTAACGATCATCAAGAAGGGAAGTCAACTTGTCGCGAAACACTAAAGGTTTGACTTCCAGGCTTGCTGACGCCTGTCATCTGGAAATGACGCGTCTTCTTCCCCAATGCGATGACGGTCTGACTGTCATCTAGGATGACGTATGTCAACATTGCAGAATCACGTTTTCTGCGTTCCTGCCATGGAAATAACTCTTGATCCTGATTTCTCTACCCGATTTCCTACTAGTAAAATTCCAAAATTCGACTTATACACATAAATAACGAGTTGTACATCAAAGACATCAATTTAACATATATCATATCAAATCTCATGCTTTCTTTATCAAACCATAACATAACATATGAATATTAACAATATCAATTTTACAACACCGATTACACGAATTTCATATCAACAACAATAAAAAGATATATGTTATGTTTCCATGTAGATCAGGAAGAAGTCATAGCCATGTAGCTCAATGTCATTTTCCACATAAG